AAGGGAGCGAATTTTGAGAGAAAGGGAGTATACCACCACCACCACTACTACTACTACTACTACTACTACTACTACTTAGAGAGGAGGGGAAAAAGAGGGCGGCATGTTTCTTTTCATGTTCTACTATAATTACTAGTAGAAGAAGAGATAGAGACGGGTTGAACATGGGCTCATCGCACTCGACACCGCCGCCTCTTGTTCATGTCAGCGCTCCAAGAGGCAAGGTACTTGTTCCTCCGGGTATGTGGATATCCCTCGTCCATTCTTCTTCCTCTTCTTTTTTTGTTCTTCCGCGCGCCCCCCGCTCGCTGCACTTACGCACCCTACTTACTCCCCACATCCACTTCGCCCCACTTTCCTCGGACGATACATTGATACGTTGTAACTAAACTTTGTATTCACCGATTGGCAGGGACAGTATTTACAGTTCATCCACCCCCGTCTTACTCTCGATCACAGCTGGGTCTCTATACAAGTAGTGCTGTTGGTCCCGTATACGCACCGTACGCTAGAGGACGAGCACGAGGTAGAAGGGAGAATAACACGCTGAGATATGGATATGGCAGGGGAGGAACCGACATTGATATAACAGAGGAGACAGGCGGAGAGGGTGAGAACACATTGGGTGATGTGACGGTAGATGCCGAAGCCAGAAGACGCAAGGAAGGATCGAAAGGATGTCTTAGCAAAAGTATGGGGAGGGGTGTGTTTGGACGGCTTGATACCCTAGACTCGAAACCCAGGTCGGCAACCGAGATGCCTGGTGGACGGGGATACGCAGGTATGCCGGTACGAGTGCCAGCGAGTGGTATCGGAAGCGGCCAGCAGCCATCTGGGCTGCCTCCAGAATACACATCCAATCCCGATTTGGTTGGGTACGGCGAAGACGGGGTGATGCCCGGTACAGGCTTAGTCAGTCCTTATCCAACTTACCCCCCTGGCCCACTACCTAGTAGTAGTCCGCTATCGAGTAGCGGTACACTTCCGCCGCAGCCGGTCCCACGAGGGCGGCCGAACCACTACGAGCATGTGCCAATGGGAGCGTATACAGATACGAATAAGGCAAGAAAACCGCTGAGCTCACATGTCGATCCGCAAACCTCGACACATCTGAACCGTGGACAGTCTTCAGACAACAAGGTCGGGCCGTCAGGCCAAGAGTGGTTGGATGGCGATGCCTTTCTCGACGCCTGTATCTGTACCATAGATTGCAAGTGTCGAAAAAGCCAGCGAGTCCTGTACCGTGCACGTGAGGACCGTCGAAAGAACGGCGATAACTCTGATATTGAAGACCACGAGTACGTAAGTGGAGAGATACGATACATACTAAAAGGCGACCTGGGGCGGAACTGTGATGACCACACTGGATGCCGGAGGAGCGAAAGCGGTAGCGAGAGCCAAGAGAGGAGGGGGAAGAACAAGAACAAGAATAACAATGGGGGCAGGGAAGAGAGGAAGAGACTCCAGCAGCAGTTTCAAGGCTTGAAAGACGACCTACTGGAAGCGCTAGACGAGCGTTTCGATGATATGAGGAAAGAAGGTCGTCAGAGACATCGAGGGCACAGCCCCGCACGGCCGCCTTCGCTTGGGGCCTCCGGATCTGGACAAAGCCCATACTACATGGCAAACGGGCCCCATGTTGACGCACGCACAGCTAGACAAATGGGCATGTCGAACTATAATCTGTACGGCGTGGCTCCATCAGGAATCGGACCAATGCCACATGGTATTGCTAGTGGCTTGGCTGCTGCAGGTATGCGCAGACATGAGGATGACATTTCCGACATGAGCGACATGAGTGACATGGGATTTGATAGTACTGCTATCGGTATGATGAATAATGGGTACATGCAGCCCCACATGACCATGCTGAAGAAGAAGACGGGCAGCTGGAGGAGGAAAGCCATGCGGCCCAACTCCACATCACACCATGGGGCTAAAGCGGGAGAGCGACAGGACAAGGGTACTGTGGAAGGTAATCGAAGCATGGCCGTTGATTCGCAAATTCCGGGTGGCCGCGGAGGGATGCTGGAACGTCACAGTAATAATAATAGTAGTGGTAGTGGTAGTAGCAGTAGTTGTGATGGTCAGCAAAGAGGGGCGCGCGGAGACAGTGTATGTGGTGATTTTGACGTAGTAGGGCAGGATGAATCTTGGATGCGGCCAAACTCACGACAGCGGGGCGGGCTTGAATGGAGTGGTAAGCGTCGTATTGTTGCAAAGCCTGATGTGTACTGATAACTTGCATAGTAAAAGGACGTGGCGATGGTAGATTGGGTAGTCAGGACAAGGACATGGCCAACAAACTCAACTTGGGTGGCAGCATAGTATACGGAAGGACCGACAGCAGTCGAAAGGGAGCAAGACAGGCNNGAGCCGATACGGATGACGACGGCGAGGACGACGACGACGACGACGACGACGACGGATATTGAAAGACAGGACAGGCCTGGGGCGCGAAGATGAGCAGGGTGGGACAGGAAGGCGAAGCTTCAGGAACGGTAGGTGTGGTGTTGGGGATCGAGGAGAAGGATTGGGGCCCGCGTGCAGGCCGACGAATCGCAGGCCAAGGACCCTGGCCTCGTTCTTTCTAAAATGCGTCATGATTCGCCTGCAAATCATCACACCAGCATGCGCCAAGTGTGCCGTGTTGGGGCATCGAGAGATTGGGAGATCGAGACGCTTTAGATTGGCGTAAGCAGAGTCAGAGTCAGAGTGAGAGTGAGAGAGGAGGGCGTGCTGATGGAGACGTAAGCCGGTACACTTGGTGCGTCGAGCGGGAGATGCAGGCTGCAGTACGTACATGTATGCTACATAGATTATGTATGTACTCTACTCAACTCTACATAGTGTAGGGCAACGGTGCCGCGTGTGCAAGTAGGTAAATAGTAGTCATGACAGGTCTAGCATCGGGTTAGCCCGTGTTGCTGCAGGCAACATGCTGGCCAAGGAGGGGTGGATGGGTGGTTGGTCCATGTCTTTGCGACGTTCCCAACAACAACAACCGCCCTGTCATCCCGTGGTTCAAGATAGATTGACGCGCCGAATCTCCTGCAATGTGCGTCGGGCAGCCACAAGTCCTGCACTTGCAATGCCACATGACTGGTCTTGTGGTGCAACCATTGCAGCTTTCCGTGGCCGAGACAGCTCCATGTCGCCTGTCACAAGCAACCACAAGTGCGCGCAGTACACACTCACACACACATACTACCAACACATATACACATACATACATACAAGTTTTATCAAGCAAACATTATCATTCGCTAACTGCATCTGATAACAACCTGGCCGGCCAGGCCCAACCCTGTGGCAGAAACTTGTTCACAGCCGGCGGAAAGAAAAAATACCGCAAGGCATCAACCAGCAATACGAGTCCAATTTCAGTGGTTACTCATTATCCGGGACGCATCAAACCAAAAAAAAATTCCCACACGCCGTTCCAGTCCAAGTAGAGTTGGGATGATTCCGGCTCCCGCATAGATCCCTATCTCGGTAAATACCAACCAACTCCGCGCTAAATATGCATACAAAGTAAAACCAGCAATAACAGAGAGTAGAGAAAAAAAATAGCGCATGGCAGCCCAGAGCCTGTGGCAGACTCTGTTATGCCACGTTGTGTGCCCGACACGCTGAGTGATCCCATGTGAAAGCTGCGCCAAGCACGTGTGCCTCGCTAGCCTCTCTCTACGGAGCACACCACCCGAGCCCAGTGTCGGCAATACCCACAGCCTTTGCAAGGCGCTTGCCCCTCTCACTGAGACTCAATATCGCGCACTTCTTTTCCGCCAACCAGTTCTCAAAGGCATTGATGTCGTCTGCGTGCATGTGAGGCTTGGCCTCGGACCATGCAGAGTCCACTTTGTAAGTCTTGTGCCGGAGACGGGGAAGAGCCTCGGTGCGCAGATGCGATAGCTCTGCCGCATAATAGGCATCATGTGACTTGAGCGGCGTCGAGAAGGATCGCTCGCGCGAACGAGAACGCTCAGAGGTCGGGAGCGAGATGGGGGAGCCAGGACATAAGAGATGAGAGGCCGGGAGCGATGATTCCACAGGCGACGCGCTTCCAGATTGAGAGGTGGATGAGGCACTGGTGAGAGGCGTAGACGAGTCCGACTGGAAGACGCTGCTGGCATTGCTTATTGTGCGAAACCTTGGCGATGGAAGCTGATCGAGCTGAGCCAGCGAGTCGTCAGCGGCAGGTTTGCCGTCGACATCACTGTCGTCGGAGCTCTCCAGGTGCTTGTCGAGTCGCTCGAAACCTGTACGGAATTAATATCGGACCGAGGTAGGGATGCACGTGAGGGACAAAAAGACGACACGTGATTGAAGAATGGGACAGGGCTGAGTGAGAACGTACCAGTCAAAACAGCAGCGCCAGCGTGTTGAAGAGCGGCCAGGCTGGATTGGACTTGCTCGGGAAGGCGATCCCAGAGTTCTTGCGGGCAATACCAATGGCGCAGGTGGGCCGGGTTGTAGCTGAAGGCATCTCCGTCCTTGGGAGCAGCGACACGAGCAGCATTGAGGTAAGACGACGACCTCGACAGCGACGCTCCCATGGGCCGGCAGCTGTCGCGACGAGGACGACCGGGGTTGTTGTAGATGGGCTTTGGAGATTGTGGAGTAGCCATGGCGGGCGTTATGGTACTACGACTGAGCAGGTCTGTGGCGTGCGCACGATGAAGAGTGGAGTGGGCCAGCGAACTGACTCTGGGGCGTGGTACTTGACCGGTGCTCTAAGGAAGGGGCCCAGGGGCTTGCGGGAGTATTTGTAGGCAGAGAGGGAACTTTCTAGACAAAGTATATAATGTGCCACAAGGTGGGTGAGGTGGAAAGAGGTGAGGAGGGGGGGGGGG